AACCCGTGGCGGTAAAGGATCGCTTGCGGTGAGTCGCCAACCCCTGCTTAATATCGTACAATAAGTATTCAAATTATAAAAAGCTACAAGTCGCATTGCTATAAATGAAAAAATACTTTATTACCTTTTCCATTAGATTATATTTGTTTTAACTTCTGTGCTAGTAGTACTAGCTGTACTATAGCGCTGCACTTATCGATGAGTTTGAGATTGTATTTCTAACATGATAGCACCATTTTTCTTATAAATATTAAGTACTAATGAATCTTAAAGCAAAAGGCATTATAAGGCAGTCAAACTTTAACTGATCCAAATAAAAAATATTTATAGTCTTTATTATTAATGCCGAAGCAAAAAAATCGACGTATACTTCACAAACAAGAACAGAACACCAAGGATCATGGAATCATATAAGATAAACATTTTAATTAGACTTAGACTTTTATTACTTGTCTGCACAATTTCCAAATTAAATTTAAAAAATAACTTCTATACAATAACAGTTACATGAACACAGAAAAAAAATCGTGAAGTTAGCGGTTGCATCCTACGTGTATACAGCCTTATATAGAGAAACAAGGCTGCGCCCACACACTGAATCAACTAGTGAATTTTTATAAATACCTCGTGTTTATGACTCAATAGACTAACTTAGATTTAGTAAGCTGTTGTTTCGTTCTACATAATATTTCAGAAAATTTTAAGCCTGGAGTACTGGAGAATATTTACAGTCTGATAGACTTGCATCTGTGTGTTCAGTACTGATTAATTGTTAGAAATGAGATCTTATTCAAATTGAAATCCTCTTCTAAATACTACTAATTACCAACCTATTAATGTCGCCACTACTAGGGCTCAGGCATTCCCTATGATTGGAATCGAATTTGGATAGGAGATTGGAACATTACTCACGCGGTGCGGATTTATGAGTGTTAACGACTTGTGCCGTGCGAAGTACGAAGAAGCTCGAGATAATAAAATTTGGCACCCATCCTATGACTGGCCCTTGTGAAAGTTGCTTAAGAATCGTTTTGCAGACCGAGCGTGCTAAATATTTTCAAAATTATACTATTCACTTTAATTCAAAAGTATCTTTTTAATTTTACTAGAACTGAAATAGGCAAAGGAATAAATATGTTACGTCCTGATAATTAGGAGCGGTTACACTATCATACACTATCTTGAAGGTCTCTCGGCGAGCATGTCAGTTGACCCTGGGTCGATTTTGGTCACCTATTTATCTAGGTACTATGAATCAGTCAGGCGCTAGCGCCTATGAAACGTGACTAACTGTAGTAAGAAGTAAATGAAGTCATGCGTTAAGGTTAAACCAAAAAAGCTATATTAACATAAGTAGGTATAAAATATGGCGCTTGTAGGCCGAGAGATGGTTACATTTTAAATTTATTTTCTATAATATATCAACTATTATTATTAGTATATATAACGTATCTGAAGTCTGATCAGAACTATACATGATTTGATTTTTGTATATTCAACGATTTTTCCGAGGTGGTCCCATATCAATTAACAGATGACCTTTATATTTGTGTCATCGCAGAAAACAAAAGATATCATATTTTCCTTTACATATTACAAAGCATATGTTCAACGGCTATGTAGAAATGTTATGTACTTTCATAGCTTTTGTTTATAGCTCTTAAAGAGTTTAGTTTCATAAATATACTATCTTTGGCAAGCCATATTACTTTCCTAAAGACTCATCCACACACGCGTCTTAACGCACCATAAAAAAGATGAGACAAGTGCAAAACTAAGGTGACTTTGAGAGCATAATTCCATAACTAACATCTGTTCACGCTTCGAACAATAACTCAACCTTGTAATTTTGGTCATCTTGAATAGCTATTTGCATAACATGAAATTTCCCATCGACAAACCGACCTTTTTGTTTATTAAATGAATTGTTGTGACAGATTATTGATTATTTACATTTAACTAATTTAATATACGTTTATCGATGTATGTAAACTAATTTTTCAATGGTATGGGTCTATTCCTTCCATATTGGCATGCCTGTCATGGTGCTTGTCAATAATATTAACTGAAAATGTATTCAATTTCTAAGTCACATGCAATGCAATGCACTAAATATAAAATACACATTTCCTAACACTACATCTTTACTATAATACTTATTTATAAAGTGATAAAGTTTCTGTCTTTCACTGTTTGTTCACGTAAATTTTAGTGGTCGAAAAAAATTATGTCAAAATAGCTACAATATGCAGCGATAGTTTATTTTTATTCATCAATGCTGGATCTTATTAATTACTCATCTTATTACTGAATATGTTCTGAAATTCACTAAGGATTACTTATTAACAAAAATATTTGAGTTGAGCGTTTTGGATAATTAATTTTGACGTTATAAAAATCATATTTATTTACCATTACATGTTCATATCAATTGTATTTAATTTTGTATTATTATTTTTTTTTTCATGAAGCTTTAAGAACTTAAGTATACCAATTATAATATTATTACCTTATATTTAAATACAATCTTAAAATTATTACGAAAATCCATGAAACAGTTTTTATTACCATTACGTAAATATTAACTGCTAAATATCAACATATTGGTATAACAGAACGCCATATAGTTTTTACAACATCCAATCGGAAAGCGATCGATGCCAATGCTAGAACTAAAATTCAATGTCAAAAGTGAATGGAAACTGATGTGTGGTATAAGCCAGAGGTTCTAAAACAAATAATTGTTGGAAAAAATACTCTATTTACAATAAAAATTAAAACATTATCAATTGAGATTATAAATACGTTTTGAAAAATAATTTTGATGCTAATACCTATGTAGGTAATTGGAGACTAATGTTAGAATAGCCTACCAATGCCAAATCAACTCTGAGAATTGTCTCTTTAATGTGATTCTACTTAGTTGATTGCAATGTCTTGACTTCTTGGATCATCATTTAGGTAACCTTTTCGGCCTATTTATGTTTTCAATGCTAGTTCCAGATAGATAAGAATCACAAACGGGGAAATATCCCAGTGAACCCAGTGTAGATTAATGTGTTAATGACTGTAGGTATAGTATATTGCTAGGATAAACACCTTAACGTGTCTTTCGAAAATCGAAATACCTCGAGATGGGCGGCACTTCTAAAATATTTCTTAACTTCTAAAGTAAAGTTTCGCAAACTAAACTTCGTCCATCGAGATCTTCCTCACCCATCCACGCAAGCATGTTAAATAAGAATCCAATATAATAAAATAGAGAAAAATACTACATATTAAATAAAAAGCAATAGCACACCACAAATTAATTCATAAGAGCATAATTTAATAAAAAAATAATAATAGAAGAACAGATATAATTGTCGTTTAAATATTTCGCCTTCCTTTTTTTAGAATCAATTAGCAAGAAAAAAAATATTTTTCTGTAATTTCTGACACATATTTAATAATGCACACTTCATCTCCAACTCAATTGAAATCTAATAAACATTTAAGCGGTTTCAGTTGAAACTCATTACACACATATGATATTAAAATTTCATCAAGTACTACGAAAGCTTGTAACGAGAAACAAGTTTACAACAAGGAAAAGATCATAAGATTGCTCTCTGTACTCGGCGTGTGTTACTCAATTGTGAATTTCGTCCTAATTGATTTCGTTGGTTAATTACATTAAAATTCAGTCTGTTTTCTTGTTAACAGGACCGGTATTAACTAATTAGTTCTGTAAAAGGAAGGTTGTTATACGTGTCATATTGGCACTTAAATCATTTCAAAAAAGATGAATCATTTTGAATTGCCGCATCGAGTATTGATCAGTGTTTTAATAGACCGCCGTCTTATTATAATACGGAGACTAAAGTTAGTACTAAAAACAATGACCGCCTAAAGCAAATTGATAATGACAGAAGAGAAAACGACAAATCGTGTTGACTTATTTTGGACGGGTAATGGTTTAAACCTAGTCCTAAAGTTAATCCTCGTTTTAATAAATAAGACGTTTTTTCGTTTTGATAAGTAAGGGTCGCTGCACATAAGATGGATAAGACTGGCGAACGATTCGGTGTCGTATTAAAAAACCTAAACATGAATTCTAAAATACCTAGAATACCTACCTTGGGTGTTCATAAGTTTGAGACGTAATCAAATTTGCGTATTTTTTTAAATATTTCTAAAATTTTCAGTTTTATGTTCATATTTTATTGAAAATGATCCTTCATGTTTTTGTAATACAGATCTTTTCCAGCGGAATTCGCTTTTGTTCACTTCGATGAGTCCAAGTTTGGGTTGGATTTCGGGCGGACCCTGAGCTCTAATTCAATCCATAAAGAATATTTCATTATTCTGTTCACTGAAACGCGCGGAATATCAGTCTGCAGAGCGAGTTTCTTCTGAGTGCGACTTGGATTAAGGCGAAGTCGCTCTCGAATGATTTTGATATTCGCAGGCGTCCCCACATAGCGTGGCCGACCACCCCTTTGGCGATCTTGTCTCTTT